AAGTAAATAGGTAAATAAACTACCGTGTTCAAGACTGAAACAGCTACAATTAAAGTCAAGCGAAACAATCATCAAAGCAAGCCATAGAATTACACATTTGAAGACTGTAAATATGGTAATGATTATCACCAAATGAAAATTGGAATGAACAAAAAATTAAGGAGGCAAACTACAACTTGAATAGATTACCTTTCAATCCTGCACTTTCTAAAGATGGCCCAAATTAGGTGACCCTTTATTTCTTTCTGGCTTCTTGACGGTACTCACAGGGAATGGCATTTCTACTAGGGATCAGTTAACACGTTCCGGACCGCGTGACACACATGGTGTGTCATGATTTCGTCTCTAGGCGGTGTTTTATTTGATTAATTTGGCTTTTCTTTCAAGTTTTTATGTTGTCAAAACACATTTTCGGAAACCGATGATATTTATCTCATAAGCGACGTGAAAGAGGTGGGAAATTTTTAGTAAACCACCTATGAAAAATTATGAAATTCTTCAGGGATGCGCGCAGTACGGCGATCCGCAATGTAATAAATATTCTTTAGTTCACCTATATTTCGCGCGTGTCGAAAACGGATAAAAGTCTCCTGAAAAAATTGGGACAGCAGAGAGCTGAAGCAAAGGAGAGCAGCTGGATGGTGTCACAGGCGCTCTGAAGAAGTGAGTGAAGACAGACCGAAATCTGCTCTGTAAGTTTAGAGAGTTGCCCAGATCGCACATATTTATTCCTTGAGTGTGGCTCACTGACGATATCCGAGTGACGATAGCTGACAGGCTGTTTGACACTAGATCTAATAACTTCAAGAGAGGATTTCACCGGATTCATGCTTTGAAAATTCTCGGTAACCTCAACCACGAACTACCACTGCGGGTGTCGATCTGACGGCCCATCGAAGGTGAATGATGGGGCCGGCAATGCATAATACCTAATAGCAGATGGTGCTCTCAAAGAATTGAGGCTTTATCGGATCTTGCGCTCCCAGTCCACACTATCTTTGATTTTCGCTTTACAAGATAATTTTGCAGTAGGCGGGGGGTGGACGAAGCTAATTGTCCCGCCGGAATCTGTGCCCCGTTACTACCAAGGCATTCCTGCTTTTAGGAGAGGTTTTGCAGATGCGAGCCACCAAATGAGTTCCTTCTATGTCACGATTCCATCCTTCTCATCTCATTCGTAGTCATCTTTATCTCCTTCCTAAGTTGGACATTCTACAGAAGGAGTTTTCTCACTTTGCCCTCGGAAAAATTGCCGCGAAGCTCGGAGAAGGGAAGTATCTAGGCACTTGAAAAAGAAAAACCGAGGAAATTCAACAACCAGAAACATTTCTTCGAAGGTCAAATACGTTGTCCCCCTCCCCTTTCTTCAGCGACCAAATACTAACCCTTCTGGGGTTACGGATATCTAGAGTGCGACATGCCCTAGTTTCCATGACCTTCTTCCCCATCAAACCATAAGTTTTAATGTATCTCAACTTCGAAAAGTGATTAACACAGAAATAAAAATTCAAAACTTACTCGTATTCTCTCCACCACACCAAATGTATTTCGCTTCTTTATCGTGAAACTACCGAATCGATTTAGATGAACTCTGTCATAGTAAAGTCGACGATGATGAATGGCAAGTGTTGAAAGCGGACGAAACGCTCTTCCATTGCGTAGGAGAAGTTGGACCTGGGAAAATTGACTTGCACTTAGAAACAGCATGAGCTGAGACACGTGTCGAAAAAAGGCCTCACAGCTCTGTAGACAGGATTCCTTGCGAGTGGTAGAGCTGTTCTCCCAACAAATGTATCCAATTTGAAAGAAGCTTTGTAAAGGGGTGTGAGTATACGATACATCGAAGGCTTTCTATGAAGAAGCTTCCAAATCGCCTGCAACAAGAGTGTACTTCCTATGGCATGGCTATCCTACATCAATTTGTACGGAAACACCTACCGACTGGGTAATCCGCCTTGCAGCGGCACCGAACCTTTTCAGAAGCATGTCGACGACTTAGGAATTACCTGAAAGTGAATTCAGTAGGAAAGTAAGATGCCTTTTAAAATACGAGAGAACCTGGCCATGACAAAGGAAAAACGGAACGGAAAAGAACGGAACTACTTTTCTGAACTTGTTATCTTGCTGTGATAAATGATCTTTTTGTTGACAAATCATGATAGAAGAAAAACAGCAGCTGCAAAAAAGCCAAGTCGCCCAACATTGAACTATCTGCGACACAATCGCCCGTTCTGACGTCATGTGCTGCGAACGGGGCTCCGCTTGCACTGACTGGTAATTAAATGTGCACGCACAAGCTAAAGGGCGCCCTCTCTGCAAAAACGCTGCTGAACTTGAAATACGATAAATCGCTGCAACGAAAGAACGTTGACCTTTAAACAAATCCTGCG